TGATGACTTCCTTCCTCTGACCAGCTGCGCTGTTATGATATGTTAGATTTTGTATTGCGTTTTCTAAGGAAATGAACTTGTCATTTCTGAAATATGAGCTGACACATTGAGGAAGCAATATCCTTGATAAAGAGGGTGCAGAGAGATACTCGTGTATCTTCTTTAGCTTCCTGTAAAGGCAATAGAAGAAGGACTTGCGTCAAAGAACATTTAAAGTGAACCTGTGAGCTGTTTGAAACATTTACAAGTGTATTTTGTGGCACCACAGTATAAATAGAAGCAGAGCTTTAGCCATAAATAAGATGAAAAGCAAGACAAAAAGAACAAAGCAGCTTTTGCTACAATATTCACTTTCAATCCAAACATTTTTCCAGTTTTTTTTTGCATTCGCTAGATATCCTCATCATTCAAACCACTTGTTCTGAGCCCAGGTCGCCATGGACCTGTCCAGCTTGTGACTGGACAATGAGAGGAGATGCAGCACAGTGATGAGCTCATCTGTCTGTCAATCTGCTTAATCCTCCTATGAGCATGCTTCTTGTTAGCACATAAATGCGGTTGCCTTAAATAGCATCCCATTGGGTCGCATGAGCCTACTGAGCCCTTTCTGGCCAGAGCACCCCAGGTTGCTAAGAGCCCTTATCAACTTGTGACACTTTGGATGGTGTCCCACCCAGTTTATAGCAAACAGTGACATCACTGGTTGCCAGGAGTTGAGCAGGACACTCTGGCTGGCATCCCAGCTCCTGGCAACCAGTGCATTCAATGAGCAAGGTGGGTCACCGCCCTGAAAACCCACGTCCCTGGTAACATGCACCACCTGTTGCCTCAGGCAGCGCATAGCCAAGGGACACCCCAGGGCCCATAGGATTGACTCCCTCTTTTTCCACATGCTTGGGAATTGGTAGCGCCGGCACCCAGCAATGCTAAATGACAGCAGGAAGAGAGTACTCCCTTGTAAGCTCTGGGTTACAACTTACACAAGGCTTCTACTCTTTGCTGCTGCTGGCTAAAGGAAGAGGCAGGGGAGCAAAATAAAGTAGTATAAATAGCTGGTGGGTCCCCCATTAAAATAAACCTGTTACTTTGCACTGATACTTCTGCACAGTTACATGGGGTCAGTGGAGACCAGATCAAGACCCCTCTTGAAGAATTTAAAGGTGTAAAACATTATATATACAGTATATACAGTATAGTATTTATATTTCCTAATAAATAAAAAATATTCCCTCCAAAAATCAGATCACAACAATGATGTCTCTTGTGCTTATTGCACAAGCATCAAATGCTCAAGTAAGTAAGCGCAATGTCTTTTGAATTTTTAGCTTTTGCAAACCTGCAAAAAAGTCACCATTGTGCTAATTTGTCCCCCTGCTTAATCTTATCTTAATGTTGTGCTAACAATTTACAAAAACCACGTGTGCATCACCACGCATGACTAAAGTAGCTCAGAGGTCCCCTTTAATTAAACACCTTTACCAGAATCCCAATCCCAACCTTAACCAAATAATACACTACACGAAAGGTGGAGTTTAAATGGCCACAGCAACCTTTTATTACAAAACTTTCTAAATAACATTTCATAAATAACCTCAACAACCAATAACTGTACTGTATACAAAATTGTTTGGTTTCAAGGCACTTGAAGGCACTATAACTTTATATATCTATATATACACAGACCAGTCTTTGCGGGCACATTTTATACCTGAATGCCCCCAGCCGCCATACAACGCCTCGGGGACGTAATTAAATTCCCCGCAGACCCACATTGGTCCCTATTACCCGGTCATACCATTTGACCTTGCCACCACAGAAGGACATCCATCCCCCTGTCAAGGTATCCAACCACAGAGCAATCCTTTCAAGGATCCAAACTGCCAAGCCACAGCTGTGACAAACCATTCCACAACCACAGCCATGCCAAGAGCGGGCGGGTGGGAAGTTCCTCTCTCTTATGCCGGTCACCAACTGAAATGCCGAGACACCTTCTTCCTGACTTCCCTCTGAAGCCTCTCCTGGAAGACCACCATCCTCCAATCCGGTAACTGACCTTCCTCTGACCCCTTTTCTAACTTTTCTTAAACCTTCCCTATCCTAGTTCCCCTTCCCCCTCTTGCCATGAAGGCTTTACACGTATTCCCTTTTATTCACTAGCTCCAGGCCTATCTGTACTGAAAGGGGAAAAAATCTCTATGCTAATGTAAAACGCATATGTTCATTTTGAGCATTACCATTCTGCTACATTATATAAAAACTAATATATATATATACTGTATATATACACACTGCCTAGCCAAAAAAAAAAGTCACCCCCTGTATTTAGCTAAGCAAACAGGTCAGAGCCATCCATTGGATAATAGGTCAAGGTTTAGCAATGTTATGTGCCCAAAGAATGAGGTCAGCTGCCTCCCTGAATATACTGAATGACCAGGTTTTACCATCAATGGATTCTTACTTCCCTGATGGCACATCGGGCATATTCCAAGGTGGCAATGCCAGGATTCATCGGGCTCAGATTGTGAAATAGTGGTTCAGGGAGCATGAGACATCATTTTCACCCCTTAACCCCACTGAGAATCTTTGAGATGTACTGGATAAGACTGTATGCAGTGGTCAGACTCTCCCATCATCACTACAAGATCTTTGTGAAAAATTAATGCAATTCTGGACAGAAATAAATGTTGTTGTGACATTGTAAAAGCTTATCAAAATGATGCAGTGGCAAATATGTGCCATAATCACAGCTATAGATGGTCCAATAAAGTATTAGAGTGTGTGATTTTTTTTTTTTTGGTCAGAGACAATGCCAAAATGAATTAAAAAAAGCTCTGGGTGGATTTAGGCCCGGGAACTCAACTGGTTGAAGGAGTATGACTCTGCAAATGTTACTTTATGATTTGTCTTTTTTATGTATTTACAAAAAGTATGTTTTTGGTAAAAAGCAGAGACAGGAGAGGCTCTCACCTCTGTTGCTTCCCCACCACAATACCTGAATTGGGAGACTCTCCATCCTCTGCCTTGACCTAGCCCTCCATGCAACCCAATCATTGTAAGCACGCTTGTCCCACTACCTTACTCATTTGCGGCCTCAATCCATCATCAGGTCTCTTTTGAAGTATGCCTGGTGATAGTAGGTCACCACATGCAGAAGCAGCAAGTTGCAAAAGCTCATAAGTAAGATTTGGGCTGGCCCTTTAAAGTCTTGGCAGGTTAGATCCCCTCACCACTTCTATATGCCTCTCTGCTAAACCACTTATGTTACAGTTCTGTTTGCTGAACAGAGGTAGAAGCAGGGAAGAAGAGACAACAGCCTTCAGCAAGCTGGCAGGTTATGCAGGAAAATACTGTATATGCCTCAGCTATGCCCACTATGCCCAGCACCCTTGTTTTTTAGATTTCTGATGTAATAACATGAAAATATGTTCCCATTTAAGAGTCAATGCTGTACTTCATAATATTCAAAGAAAGAAAATCTGCAGAAGCCAGTGCATCTCTGGTGTAATCAGGAAGTGGCTTCAGCAACTATCACGTCTTTATCAAGTGTACAGTGACTTGTCATCACACCAACGGTGGTTGTGTGTGTGTGTGTGTGTGTGCGTTTGTCACACTGTGTGAGTACAGTAAGCACAATAAGGGAACCAAAAGCAGCTTCTTACTTCATCGCAGTCTGTGTTTTCACCTTATTGAGTGCAGAGTGCCTGTTTTTAAAAGACAAGTAACCTAGAAGTATTAATTAGGAGTGGCTATCTTTTATATGAATTGAATTTTGCAGCAGTTGTGATTCTTTTGACTGCAAGAGTGATATTTCAGTATGCATGTTTCAGTGTACTGTAGGGTGTAGCTGTGGTCACAACCAATGTCAGGTCCAGTTGATGTTGTCTTTTTGCTTGAGGTCAGGAAAATATCATGGTCACTGGCTCTTTAAAAGTGCCTAGTGTCTTCTCATTTCTACGTCAGTCTGTACAGCCCTTGGGCTCTCCAAAGTTTTATACCACAACTCCCACAGCGAAGGGAGCTGTGGGGTAGCGAAAGGAAGGTAAGAATAAGCATCATGAGTCTCAGTCTAAGCAGTAGGAGGGAAAGAGAGAATGGTGGGGCAGGCAACTAAATAAACCTACTTTGGCTTGTATGGACAAATCACACATTCACTTTAAACATTCATGGAAACTCCTGGCAAAACTTCAAATACGCAGCTAAAATACATGTATGGGAAGTATTGTAGTGGCCAAAGAAGTATTGAAATTGTGTTCAATCTCGGCTGCCCTTCACAAACTTCTGTCATAATGCATAGCCAGAAGGATGACACTGGTCAATGATGGGGCAATATGAAAATGCTGAATTTTTGTCCACTGTGCAGACTAGAGATGGAAAGGGGCTGCTGTAAACTGCAAAATTAACCCAGAATACACAGAATAGTTGTCACTTTCCAAACTGTGCGGTAATGACCGCCTATTTAGTGTCTCATTTTACAGTGCTACTGAATTTGTTGTCATGTTATAAATAATAGTTAACATAATACAATGTATATGAACAAATATAGTAAAGTAAACAAATTTGATATACAATTTTGGTGTAGTTTAAAACAATAAAGATAATGATTGATGACATTTGTGTAAATGAGAGTGTAGATGTGTCTGTGTGACTTTTCACGTAGCCCCAACTGTATGTTCATCTAATAAAAACCCATAAAAAAGATGCTAGAGATACAGTATGTATATGTAATATAAAAAGAAAAACTAAAGTGCACAAGTAAGAGAGCAGCGTTATTTAACCATACAGGAAGATACTTGTTAAATAAATTCTACCAATCAGCTCTGTTGCAAGCCTCAGCTCAGGAAGCCTTTGAAAGAGCTTGGTGCATATATGTGTGTGTGAGTGCGTGTGTGTGCTTGTGCTATGTGAAACTTTACTTGAGCTCTTTTCTTCCTTTCGGCTTGCAGGAGAAAAGCACAAATGTGAAGTCGATTGCAGCTATGTTCAGTGGAGTTCCCAGACCCATGGAGGAGACACAGAATTCCCCTGGGCCACCTGGTTTAAAGTCATTTCAAGAAAGACTAAAGGGATTTGAGGCGCCTAGCAGCACCCCACCTGGATTAACACCTAAGAAGCCAGTAGTTCCAAAACCTGCACCAGGACCGAAAGCTCCAGCATATGAAGTCAAACCGTCATTTGCAAAACCAGTTGGAGGCATCAACAGGACTGCTTTCCCTTCTAACACAAACAGCCCAGCAAAAGAGGAGAAAAGTACATTTCCCAAACCATCTGCATGTAAATCCCCCAGCCAGACAGAAGAACCAAAGGTCCCTTTTCCAAAACTTGGAGCTGGCAAACCTTTTGTCATTGGTAATAATGCTCCACATGAGGCTAAGTTTGGTGGGCTCAAGCCAACTTTTCCACCAGAGGGAATTGAGGAAAAACCGTCTTTCGCTAAACCATCTCAACTGAAACCAGTTAATTCAACTTCAGACAATGAGGTCAAGCCTCCTTTTCAAAAGAAGTTGCCATTTGGGGCCAAACCCCCCGTCAACGTGGGCGGATCACCAAGTGAGAACAGTTTCAACAAACACAACCTGGTAGCAAAAACATTTTCAGGTTCCCAGGACAAAAAGCCTATAAAACCGATAAAAGAATCGACAGAAGAAAATATGTCTGCAAGTCCTTCTTCTCAACCTTTCCATGGAATGGCGTTTAGACCTGCTGGTATTAAACAGATCCAAAGCCCGTTTCTGAATAAAAGCACAGATGAGCCAAGCGAAAGCCCGAAATCCAGTTTCCAAATGAAAGCTAACCAAAATGGTAACAGTTCTTCACCTTTTGGATTAAAACAATCTGGAACACCATCTTCCCAGGACAATTTAAGAGAGCCAAAAGATCCCAATGAACCGAACCGCAAGCCACTTCCATCTCCAGCCAAACTAGGTCCTCCACCTCAAAAACCTTCAAGACCACCTAATGTGGATATAGAAAGATACAGAGCTAGAAAAGGGGGCGGTAAGCTGGAATTTTATTATCTGTTTGTATATGTGAAATGAAAGTGCTTATCTACAATACATGGCTAAAATCACGGTTCTATTATTTTAACTTAAAGTGACACTAAACTTAGGAATTAAATCTTAAAATGCATTCAAGTACCTTGACTATAAACAGAAATGTATCTTATTTGTGTATCACTCGGCTGTAGATCCTCAAATCATTTCTGAATTGGTGCGGACACTGTCCTTCCTTCTGGAGGGTGGCTAATTTTGTTTCCCATTAGTTCATATGTGTGTTGTAAAGTAGCCACCGCTCCAAGCTTACTCCCCTGATGGACTACAATCTCATGTTTAGTTTACTAATTTGTATTGAGATTGTAGTCTATCATAGGAGTGAGCTTGGAGCGGTGACTACTTTACAACACACACAGGGACCATGGGGAACAAAAGTAGCCCCCCTCCAGAAGGAAGGACAGTGTCCGCACCAATTCAGAAATGATTTGAGGATCTACAGCCGAGTGATACACAAATAAGATACATTTCTGTTTATAGTCAAGGTACTTGAATGCATTTTTAAGATTTAACTCCTGAGTTTAGTGCCACTTTAAGACCCGATGGGCTTCCTCCTGCTAATGAAATTTATTTGGCTGACCTCTATATTTCTTCCAAGGTAATTAGGCTGGCTCCAAAGTTGTCTGCATAGCATTTAGAAATGCATAATAAGCACATACAGTATAAAATATCTATAATAGAAAATATTTTTTTGCCATCAGATTGTACCATTGATTCTGATTGGTTATTTAATATTTAGGCCAAGCTGTAAGCCCTGTTCATAGTCTGTTAGAAGTAACCATTTCATTATTGAAAGGCCAATTGACATTGCATTTATTTACAGTGTAGGTAAATCCTATCAATGAACATGTCGTATTTGCTCGCTTTTGGCCTGTTAAATATATAATTGAAACCGTTTAGTTTAGGGCTGTTACTGATTAAAAATTTTGTGTTCGATTAATCAAATTTTATTAAAATCGATTAATTTCAATTAGTTATAACGCACATACAGATCCAACTACATTGGCCTATACACATACAGCTCAGCAATGAAGTAATAACATGAACTAGGGTCACGCTAATCCAGCACGTTAATAATCTCACGTGCCCCACTCAATATGGCCGCCGCTTGAGTGGGGCAACTCAGAATAATAACGTGCTGGATTAGTGTGATCCTAGTTCATTTTATTACTTCATTGCTGTGCTGTATGTGTATAGGCCAATGCCTTGGCTGGCGCTCGTGCAGAACAAGTTTCTTGGGCAAACCTCTTAGTTGTAGCAAAATTGGAAGTCAGGCGGTCGCAGAACTCGATAAGTGTCGACAGATCACCGACCCAAGTGGCTCCATCGGCTAACGAAGGGAAGGGGGAGGAGTTCGGTGACGTCACGGACATCGCCGTCACCGGACTCCTCCCCCCTTCCCTTCATTAGCCGATGGAGCCACTTGGGGAAGGGGGGAGGAGTCCAGTGACGTTGATGTCCATGACGTCACCGGATCTCCGACGGGACTCCCGGAAGCCGGCGGAGAGGTGAGTGTTTTACATTATTGATGAAAAGAATTTTAATCAATCAAAAATTTTAACGATTAATCGGGTAATTAATCGTTAATTTCCGCAGCCTTAGTTTAGTTATATCTGTTCAATACGTGCAAAAACACTGGTCCTTCCAGAAATCTTATGAGCTGACAACTTCCTGTGCTCTCTGCCCCTCTGACTGTTATCAGTTAGCACTGTTTCCCGCTATTTCTGTGGACTACAAAATATCTCTCTCCTATGTTATGGAGAAGGGGAGAAGAAGTCTGTAGCCTTGTTCTAGGATGAGTCTTGAAAGCAATGGTCACTATGTCACCCTGCGTGGCCCCAAAACGTTGGTTTTTCACATGAGGCACTTCTGCAATTAATGCACACAAGAAGTTTAAACATTTTCTGTTTAGTGCTGGGGATCTTCATTGCTTTCAAGACTCAATGCCGCACGGCATCAACCTTGATCTATCACTGCAAGCACCGCAATTTACCAAGGTCCTTAATGCTGTATGGAGTGCGGGGGATACATTTGGAAGTTGTTCTAGGATGATGCTGCTGCTGCTTCATTTATACAGTACACAGTGTTGTCAGCGTAGGACAGGAAGTGTATTACCGGCAGGATCACCAGGTGAAAATAAATGAAAAAAGCTTGAAAAAAAAAAAGAAAACTAATGCAGCCACCACATCTAATGGCTGGTAAGCTGCAATATTTTGCAGGAACCTGTTACTTTGATACTATAAAGAAGAGACTATCACCTCGTCTACTAAATAAATAAAAGGCAAATGATTGCACTTACAAAATAAAAACTTGAAAGATAGAGATGTGTTTAATTTGTAAGTGCAATCATCTGTCTCCTATCCAATTATTAAATAAAGTGATATTCGGCACAATCTGATGCACTCTCTTCTTTACCCTATTTTAGTTCTTTCCATACCCGCTGTGAGTATGCTGTGGGTTTGCAAGGATGTACAGACTCTACCATTGGGTGCAATGTTTGATTGGTTGTTTGAACCTGTTACTTTGCCTTTATTTGTTGGAGCCATTGGAAGAACCTCTGACCATGGGGGAGCATGCAAACTTCTTCCCTTCCTCCCAGGACGCAGTGCTGGGGCCTGAGCGGCCAATTGTCAGACAAGGACCCTGTCACAAGTGGGAAACAAGAAGCTCATTAAAGTCAGGTATACACATATATATTTTCTTTGTTCAACCTACGGCCTGAACGAAGAAGATTTAACAGATTGCTCCACCAATGCTTACGAGCATCAGGAATCAGCCAAAATTCGATACATGTGTACCCGGCTTAACACTGTGTAAGCTCTGACATTGACTGACACAGAGTGTACACAGGAATAGAGGCCATGGCTTTGCCAGACGAACAGACGGCGGGTGAGTAAGGGGAAGGTAGGTAAGTATTAGCTGGTGGTGGGTGGCCTAGAAAATCAAGAGATAGGCAAAGTGACAGATACAATTTAAATTCAATTTTTTTGTAGTTTTGGATAGGCTGGGAAGTTAGCGTATTTATTATAATTGCATTAATGTTTATAACCCTACCTGAGAGATTTCCGCTCACTTCCTGTACCTGTGACATCAAGACAAGGAAGGAGGGGAACAAGTGTTACCAGGATAAAAATGTACAAACAGCAATTTGTTTATGGTAGAGCTTTGTAAGCTTTCTCCACTATACCTAAAATAAATAAATATAGATAGATGATAGATAGATAGATAGATAGATAGATAGATAGATAGATAGATAGATAGATAGATAGATAGATAGATAGATAGATAGAGTATAAATATATATATACAGTATAAATATATATACA